GTTGCGCCTACGTCTATTGTCCCTGCCCCGTCTACGGTATGGTTCCTGACGAGGGCGAGGATGATACTGCCTTTGAGGAGGTTGGGGCTTGAACGGCTTCCTCTGTGTCACAGGGGTGTGCATCCCCAAGGACTTAAGGGTAGCCCGAGAGTCCTTGAGGCTGTGTAGCCTGGCGTCAGTCTGCTCTGAGAAAAGACCCGTACCCTCAAACGGCAAGTCTTGGAGGGTATTTTGCACCTCCGGGGGAAGGCCCGAGGATTGCAGCCATGCAGAACGTCTCATCACTACGCCCGACGCAATTGTTCTAGCAGCTGCGTCGGCAGAGTCAAGTGAGGCCTGTAACGACGTTTTGGCTACCGCCTTCCCCTCGTCCACTAGCGCCGCGAACTCAGGTTGTGAACCCTGAGGCAAGGCCTCTTTGAACTTGGACACCGAAGCCCATGAGTTAAAGTTATGTCTATTTAGGATCGCTTGCTGATTTGCTATCCTCAATTGGAGGCCCCCGGACGAATAGACCTTCCTGCCAAAAAGGTCTAGTCGTTTTGCCTCCTTGGCCTTGGGTGCCGGGGCCTGTTGGCCATGTCTTTCCCGTTCGTTAACCGCCGAGACGACCAGCGAACATGGGGCCGGGTGGGAGAAGAGAAAGTCAAACCCTTTGGACGGGGCGAAGTACTTCCGTTCTACGCCTTTTGCGGTTGGCGCGGAGGAGGCTGGCGTTTGCCATACGGTCTTATAGTTTGCCTGGACCGTTTTTATAAGCGGGAGCGCGATCCTGGAGGGACCCTCTGGGCTCAGAATGTCCACCATCGGATCCTCCTGCTCAACCGTCTCCTCTGCTTGTAGACCCAAATTAAGGGCCACCCGGCGGAGCAAGTCCTGGTGAGCCCGGTGGTCAATAGGGGGAGGGCCGGATACCGTCGTGCCCGCCACGGCCTCGTCCGGCGAGGAGGAGGAGGTCATGGCTTTCTGAGCTTCCTCGTCCTCCTGTATCTCCTCCTCGGTGGGGCGTCCCTCCGGGGTGCGCCCCCTGTCCCGAGTCAGGGACGGTGCCGAGCTCGGTGCCGAGTCCGCCCTCTCTGCATCCGGTGGTCTGGAGACCGTGGCCTCCGCACGGGAGGTAGGGCGGCACCGTGGGGAGCGGGACCGGTCTCCTGATGGACCCGACCTCGAAGTCCTGGATGGAGGGCCTTGCTGATGATAGGCCCACGGTGTCCAGAATGGCCACTGCCCAGGATGGTTCCAATGTGGTTGCCAAGAGGCCTCGTGTTCTCTAGCGGCATGCCCTCTGCGGCCATATCTGGAAAGGCCCGAGTCCTCTTCCGACGCTAGGGACGGTGACCTAGAGGGCCATGGCGGTGCCGTGGGGCGGTGCCGGTCCGGTGTCGGGGAGCGGTGCCGTCTGGACCGGGACCGTGAGTACCGGCGTGCCGATCTGGACCGGGAACGGTACCGTTGACCGCGGGACCGGGAGCGGCTGCGGGAGGGTGGTCTTGGAAGTCTCGCCATCGAAGCGTCCCGGCGCCTGCTCGAGCCGGGTTGCTGAGGCGGTGCCACGCTCGCATCAGGCCCTGACTGTTTCGCGGCCCGTTGTGCGGCGGGAAGCCGGGAGTCTACCGAGGCGGAGCTCGACCGGGACCGGCGCCGTGAACGGTGCCGAGATGGCGACCGCGACGGGCGCATCATCGCCGGTTTGCCCTTGGATGGCAGCCGCGGCGGAATGTCTGCAGCGCGGAGTGTGCTTTCGGAGGACAATTCGATGAGGTCCTTTGCCGCCTCAAATGTGTCCGAGGTGGAGGGCTGTTCCAACAGTTCCTCCAGCCCATCCTCCGCACTCGACGCGCTCGTCCCGGGGCTCGACGGGCCCTTCGGCGCCGGAGCCACTGGTGCCGGGACCTGTACCGGGGCCGTTACGGCCTTGGCCGCACTTGCGGGCTTCGCCGGTGCCGCCTTCTTATGAGGGGAGCGTCCCCGGGCCTTAGGCTGGCCCTTTGCCTTGGCCGGCGAAGAAGATCGGTGCCGGGCATGTTCCCGCCTTGGCGGTGCCGCGGGCTTAGTCTGCGCCGCCGGTGTCGGGTCGCGGACCGATGCCGGGGCGCTCCGCACCGAAGCGGACGGTGCCGCGGAAGAGGAGGGCTGTAATGCCGCCTCCATGAGGAGCTGTCTAAGGCGAAATTCCCTCTCTTTCTTGGTTCTGGGCTTGAAGGCCTTACAAATTTTACAGCGCTCCTTTTGGTGAGCTTCCCCGAGGCAACGGAGACACGACTCGTGCGGGTCGCTCACTGGCATAGGCCTGCGGCACGCGGCACACGCCTTAAAGCCTTGGGCGTGCGGCATGCCCCGCCGCCCAGGGCCGGTGCCGGGGTTGACCAAACCCCTATCACCAAGTGATTTTGGTCCTTAGAAGAACTAAACAACTACTTAACACTAAAACTCTTAACTGTAATTATGAACTGCTAACTACTGCTAATGGCTATGCTAAGGGACACTCTCAGGCGAGAGACAGAGTTGTTCCAACGTCGCCACGGGCGGTAAGAAGGAACTGAGGGAGGGTCGGGCCTGCAGGGATATATATACGCGAGGGCGGGGCGCCGCTCTGGCGGGAAGGGGGACCCTGCGGGCCCGACGGGAGCCGCTGCGGGAAAAAAGTTCCGACGATTCGTGCACGCGGCGCGCGCACACCTAATGTGGAATGGACGTGAACAAGCACTCGAAGAAGAACCAAGTTAGTTTGTTAGCCATTAATTACTTACACACACCCTAAAAGTGTGCCGGGGTTTTACAGACATGGAAGAAGACAGGTACCTACACTGAAGAGTTGTAATTTTAGCGCTACTTGCAATCTGTACTATGCGGCAAAATCAGCCTGTAATTGCTGCAGAATTTTGGATCTTCCCTGGGCTGTGTGGTATTAAAGAAATGTCAGTTTTATGTGTTTAATTTATTGCTTCACCTCTTTGGGGTTATATTTTATATGCATATTCACTGTATGCCAGCCTTGAAAAATTCTACTCACCCACGCACCCCGGGCAAGTCTTTTTTTTTGATGGGTGAGTAAAACATCGTTAGTTTTTTTTTTCATTATCATCAATCCTCATGGTAATAGGTGCGCAAGCAGATTTTGTGCCTGGCCTAGTCAATTTCACAAGGCTGCTGTCTGTTATTTTGTTGGTGTCCTGATATTGAGGATTGAGATGCATCCCCAATACCGTAAATCCTTTTCAATAAAAACAAAAAAGTTTAAAAATAATAGAAGATCAGAATGTGTCAATGAGTGTTAAGCAGAACTCTACCATTGTCTTCAGAGGGGAGTTCTGCTTAAAAATCCACTGCAGAATAATTGATTTGAATGGAGAGTTCTGTTTAAAAAGAAATCGATAGTTATTGTTTAGTTACAGTAGGCTCAGTTTTGACTGTGCTCTTTTATCAAGGAACAACAACTATTTTTTTCCAGTAGTAGCCTGATTAAATTATTTTGAACCATGTCTGACTATCTCTATTTGTTGACTAAAGTGTAGCCAATTAAACAGGCCTGTTAAATTTAAACTGCTAATTTTACCACTTCTGTAGCAGAATTGCCTGTTGCATAAGCCTGGAAAGGTCACGCTAACAAGCACAATTAGTTCAGGGTAGCAAATACCCACATCAATAAAAATTCACAGAAGAAAAAGAAAGGGACCCAGTTATTAAAAGTATCTGGTAGCAAGTCATTTAAGTTTAAAAAAAATTGTCAATATGTTATAAGCTACAGCGTAGATTATTAAAATGAAAAAAAAAATCTTTCTGGCCCTACACTATGTATATGTTTATTTACCAGTTTGCACTTCTTTCAGCTCTGGCAATGAAAGAAGGAAACTTAGATAAGTCAGTTTCACTTTTGTTTCTATTCAACGCCACTTTTGGGGTCTCATCCACTAGCACAAACCTGCCATTGCACATACTGCAGGGGAATTATTATTTGTTAAAAAAGTGTGGAAACATTTCTTAAATTGTACATTTCATAAAATCTTGTTTCTAGCAATCAAAAAATTCAGCGCCAAATTTGACCCGTTAGTGTATCGATGTACCTGTTGTGCTGCCCATCATTCCACTGAAATTAGTGGGATGTGCATATGCTTTGGGTTATTGAGCAGCAATTCGGGTTTGGTGGAGGGTAGTTTTGGGCTGCTGACCTCTGCACACACATTATTGCTCTCAAGTGGATGGGATGTCAGACCTAATCCAGGGTTTATAGGTCTGCTCTACTCAATGAACTAATGGAGCAGTTCCATTAATTCAGCAAGTGCTGCAGAAATCAGTGTGAAATTAATGTCATTTAGCTGGCAATGGCGGAGTTTGCCTATGTGGTTAGAGCACATGTATGTGCAACTGCTTGAGCTGTCAATCTTGCTCTCTCATTTTCTTTTTTATTATCATTGTTTTTACAGGGCTCAAAGGTGGATAGACACTTCGCAGATCAAAAAAAATACATATGTTTCCTGCCCTGGAGAGTTTATTCAATTTTGGTATGTGCACATCTCAATGATTCTATTAAATTAGAGGTAGGACTGATAGTGATGCATATAGCTAAGGTTGCTCATCACTTCCCATATAAAGCCCCTGTTGCCAGTTGCTTATAACTTTGCCAGATTGTAATAATTTGAGCTGAAATTTCCCATGCTTGGTTTCTGCCTCAGGCTGTTTTTAAGTTTCAGCAAAACAGTTCAGCTATTCCTCAGAACGAAGTAGGGAAAACAGACAATTTTGCCATTATTTTTTCTCCAACCACTTATTTGAAGCACTCTTGTGTCTCCATTCTTTGGATCACAAACTTGAAATTTGGCAGGGTAGTAGCCCTTGGGTCAGAGATGTGCCTTTTGCTGTTCCCATGAAAATCCATCCACATTTGGCCAAGTTTTAATATTCTGAGAACAGTCATTTGATGTGCTCAGGACATATTTGGAGATGGGGGAGAAATTTCAATCTTGTCAGTGACATGTTAAGAAATTGATAGAATCTCTCACCTGTAAGTATTGGTTGCTGGCACTCTCCAGATCTGCACACCTTGAAGAATTCCTTCAGCCCCCACTATAACACTGAGATTGGAGTTCCTATAGGCGTCGTTGCACTGGGTCTGAGTGGGTCCCTGCGGTCCACTGGCACCACATGTGGTGAACAACCACTGATCTAAAATAAGGACACATGTAAAATACACTTTGAATATATGACAGTCTCACTGTTCTTCCTTTTACTTTCTCCTCCTTGAACTGGGACCAAGAGGAGAATCTGTGGAATCTGTTTTTAAGGGAGAAAGGATAGTCATTCACAAGGCTCCTCATGATCTAGCACATCATAACAATACTTAGCACTTATGCAGTGATTTTCTTCTGTAGTCCCCAGCCTCACAATGAGGAATATTACCTCTCTTTTACTGAGTCACAGGGAGGCAAAGTAATTTGTTCAAAGTCACACTGCAAGTAAATAGCAGAATGGGGAACAGAGTCCAAGTTTAGTGCACTGTCCACTGGACCATGAATAATGTGTGATCCATTAATAACTAGACCATTGCAATTTACCCCTCTGCTACTGTACTGTAGTTTACTAAATAAGAATATACAGTACTCAGTTATTGGGGCCTGAATGAGAAGACTGAATAATTCTGGATAACTGAGATTTTGGATAATTGGGGAATTTTCACTGTAATTAATACACAGGATAATACTACTACTGTGGTGAGGCTAAATTCATTAACATTTGTAAAGCTGTGAGATTCAATTATTTATTATCACAACAGCTGTTTGGGATTTGACATAGAAGGGATCAAGATATATAGTGCAGAAGAGCTATCTACAAATATGGCTTTTTTCAGGAGCACCTCACAATTAACAGAATTTATCCTCAAACCACCCCTATGAGATAGGGAGGTATTTTCCCAATTTTCAGATGGGGAACTGAGGCACAGGATAGATTAATTGACTTGCCCATGCTCACACAGGAAGTCTGTGACAAACTCTCGAAGTGAATCCAGGTCTCTTGAGCTCCAGTGCTCTATCCACCTATCTTTTCTAGGCTTAAGGCCTGTTCCAAACCCACTGAAGTCAATGGAAGTTTGGACCAGGTCCTTAAGAATAAAGTATCCAATTTTCTTGATGACTTTCTTAATCCAGAGTCTGACCATCTTCAGGAAACATTGCAAAGCCATCCTCTTTGAGAAAGCCTTTCCACCATATGTGATGCTCACAATATAAACATCCCCTTCTATTCCCAACCTCCTCCCAATTTCCCCACCTCCCAAAAAATCCTGTCTCAAGCAGTTTCGACCCTGGAAAGGGAGAAGTGCCAAAGACACTACAAAGTCTGCTGGGGACTTTGCTATTGACTTTGCATGGAAGGTGCTCAGATACTACAGCTATGGGCAGCAGCATAAAACATTTTAGATAGATCAGAAGATTACAGAGATAATGGGGGAAAAACAAAAAAAAACGGGGGAAGAGAACCTCAGAAAATATGATCTCAGGGACTAATGGTTTCTAAGCAGAATGTTTATCAGAATTTTCACACAATGCTTCTGTGGATCTGATCCTTCAAATACTGACAGTCTTACACCAGAAATGTGTTATGTTCATTTGCTTCATTGCCAGCAAGAAAGCTGAGGCCTCTCCTTCCAGCTATCATAGTGGCTTAACATGGTAATATCCCAGTGGGCTAAGCCAGCTGCACTGAAGCATATGCTTAGTAAAACGGGTAGGTGAGCATCTTTGGAATAATAAGAAACAGCTCTTATCTCTCTGGTGAAAAACTGTCTGCACATGGAATTATTTAGGAACAGAGTAGACAAGCCCTAAAGGTGGTGATGTAATGCTATTGTGGGAGTGACTATGCTAACACCTGTGTTCAGTATGGACTAGAGGTTTCCAGAGCCCTCAGCAGACTCAGATGGAACTGAGTGCTTGTGCAGTTAACTAAAAATGTTGTGCTTTCTCTCCTGTGAGCCTCCTATTATATCGATCTCCAAAAAGCTGGTGGACTGGACAAGGCTAGATCACAAGAAGTTTGTTATACAAACCTGATGAATTTTTAATAACCAGAGTCTCAAAAGTTTGGAATTCCGATAAGAAGCCAAAGGTCTGACGGCTTCTCTGAACTAAGTCGCAGTTCCTCTCCTCTCTTCCATAGTTTGGACGAGTGTGGATAAAGCTCAAGAAGATACAGTGGAGGCACCAATCCTGCACTGGCCCCTGAGGGTAGGCTGCTTGGGATATTATAGGTCTTTTTGCATCTCTAATTTTTATGGATCTTTTCTCTTTCTGAAGAAACCTACACATATGAAGATGAGTTGCATATAAAACGTAATGGGTGATATCCTGGCTCCCTTGAAGTCAATGAGGGGTTTTTTCATTAACGTCAAAGGGGCCAGGATTTCTCCTAATATCCACTGCAGGTGTTTTCAGTATTCCCTCTTAATCACTACTGTAGTGACTTATGAACCACATTCTTCCTCCTAGTTCAGAATCTCCTTCTTGTTTGATACTGAAGGCCAGTCCAACTTTACAGCTGGATCAAGCAGGAACAGAATGTAACCTGGGGGGGAAGTCGATCCTGGTTTTAAAAAAATTAGGACGATGGGTCTCAGAAAGTTTGGATCTAGACTAAATTCAGGCTTTTTCCCCACAAAACCCACATTGATCTAAAAATGTATTAAATACAGCACTTGCTTGAAGTCTTAAATAACAAAACAAGCTTCCAAGGTTCTCTTAATGTCTATACAACCTCAGAAGTGGCCTTTTTCCAGTAAAAGTGGCTATTTCCTCCCTGAGTATTATTGATTTCCCCCGGTACCAGAAACAACTGCAACATTCTACACGAGCCATTAAAAACCTCTCAGAAACCTGTTTCCACAGGTTGCTGCATGTCATGGCAGTTTAGAGTAATTCAATTTTGAACACAACTTTGAACTCCACAGATGAAACAGCAACACTGAAACACAACCCTTTAAGCAACTGGGATAGCAGCATAGCATTTTTCACTTGCACGCAATTGTGATGCAGTCATGTAACATATAGTACAACTCTCCTTTGTTCTGCAATGCATGATGGGGTAGTACCTTCAGCACACCATAATTATCCAGTCCGTGGCTGCCAAAAAGTAATATATTCTGGTCTAAATTTTCCAAAGTGACTAAGTATTTTGGGTCCCACTTTGGATACTTTAAAGAGGCCTGATGTCCAGAAAGTGCTGAGCACCAATACGCTGAAAACCAGGACACCCAATAACGGAGGCACGCAAAATCACTAGTCACTTTGGAAGATTTAGGCCTATATTTTTAGGACCTTCTGTTGTACCCTCTGGACCGGATTCAGACATCTTGGATCAGACCACTAATTGGGTTAATAAACTGAAGCTTTCAATTTAAGAAAAAAATGAAATAAAAAATTGCACTGAGAATCAGAGCCAAGCTAATAAATTATAATGAATAATTTATACAATCATTAATCTCTTTTTCCTGTCTGTGACTGGACTGTCATTTCTCAGACTTATTTATTGTTCAAAATTATTTGCCAAGTAGTTTCTGGGAATAATTCTTGGCCTGTAGCTTGTCTGCTAGCATTAAAATGAATGTTTTGATTGCATGCAAAGGCCATGTGGTATGTTTACACTTGTTCTTTGATTGGATGAGCATTAACTCTTTGAATGGGGTTTCCATTATAATTAATCATGATTACAAATTAAAAATTCTTTTTCTGTGAAAACTCTACAATATTTTATTAAAATTGTCTGTTTTGGCCAATACTCACCTTTGACCCATCAAATAGTCGGAGAAAACAAACACCAAAGAAGTGAAAGTGCAACCAAAACAAATGCAATTAAAAATTCAAATGAACATTTGCCAGGAAGATTGTGTAGCGTTTGTCTGACTATGTGGACAATATACAGAGGGTGGAATTCTCCCTGGTGCAGATAGCCCGCAAATCTAGCCATCACTTAAATCTCAGTAGGCCCTATTCTGAAGTCTTAAAGTGGGATTTAAGTGGCGCTTAACCCTTGTGTTGACCATCACCATGAAGAGTAACTGAGAGCAACTAATACTTTAAACTTCACCAGCCACCCTGCCTCCAACATATGTGCCTGAGCTCTGAGCCAGAAGGAGCTGGGGTGATACTATAGCTCAGATTCCATGTCTCTTGCAGTGCTTAGCCTTATCCTAAGAATGCCAATAAAGATGCCAATTAGTGACCTGACAAACATACGCTGAGGAAAATATCAAACCTTAGCCTCTTATCCCATACATTAGTGTCAACTATCTCTACCAGCAGTTTCCAAACTGTGGATCGTGACCACAAATGGGGTCCTGCCCTCAGAAGATGGGGTCATGGTGATTCCTAATGGGTTGAGGACACCATTTTGCTCCGCACAGCATGACCTCGCATGGATGGTGCGTGTGAAGTCATGATGCATGGAGGACACAATTTTGCTCTACAAAATGGCATCCTCCATGCTCTCTGGACTCCTGGGAGGCAATTTTATTAAAAAAGGGTTGTGTCAGCAAAAAGTTTAGGAACCCCTGATCTAAACAGTTATGGCTGGGGGCAGAGGCTAAAAAGATTCTGGACCTGATTTTACAGTGGGGTCTTAGCCTCTCACCAGTTTGGTGTGCAAAGCCTGCATACACAGTTGAACTATTCTAATCCTAGCATGCGCAGGCAATAGAATTTTCACAGGCCAATATCCATTTATCCAAATGGGCCTTGGGTATGAAGCTTCTGTCACCTGCAAATGGAGGGGTTACAGTCTATGACGTGCATATACCAGGGCTAGTGCTCCTAAATAGATGTACATGTGTGTGCAGGGCCGTCCCTAGACCCTGGGTGCCAGGCGAGGAGTGTCTTCCGCCTCCCCCCCCCATTTGTTAAACCTTTGAATACCTTATTTTTATTGCATTTGTAGCCCATTTCACGACTTTGATGTACGATTTGCATGCATGATTTATCCCTGTCATTTAAGACAATAAATTTGCAAGCTAGGAGCTGTAAATTTGTATTTATTCATTCCATATATAAGCAAATAAAAAAATTCATTTCCTAAGCTGATAGAAACTTTTTAAATTTTAAGAATAACTGAAATGTACTAACATCAAGAAATTGAACTGTGCACCAACATTGGGTGGACCAGTATTAAACAGTGAGTGT